GCATTGTTTCAATAAACTTCTGCAATGTCACAAGATCTATTTCCATCTAGTGTTGCATTAATTTTTCTTGTTAATTTCTAATTAATTAATTTCTTGTTAATTAATTTTTCAATCTTGCATTGATGACTAGGCACTAGGCATGATGTGTGCACCACTTCACCTGCCTCTCTTCTTACCCTGATGCACCCATCACTCTGGAACAGGGTCACTCTGGACTCAGACCACATGACCTTCTTCCATTGCTCCAGAGTCCAATCTTTATGCTCCCTAGCAAATTGAAGCCTTTTGGTCCAGTTAGCCTCACTGATTACTGGTTTTCTTAAGGCTACACAACTGTTCAGTCCCAATCCCTTGAGTTCCCTTCACATTGTGTGTGTGGAAATGCTCTTACTTTCACTATTAACCATAGCCCTGAGTGCTACTGTTGTTTTTCTTCCATTTGATTTCACCAAACGTTTAAGTGATTGCAGATCACGATCATTCACAATTTTTTCTAGCCACATTTCTTCCTCGAAGACGATGGGCCCCCACTATCCTTCCAGTTTTTAATAATGCATTGGACAGTTCTTAACCCAATTTTAGTAGTTTCTGCAATCTCCTTAGATGTTTTCTCTGCTTGATGCCAATGATTTGACCCTTCTCAAACAGACTGACATCTTTTCCTCGACCACGCCGTGTGTCTTTCAACATGGTTGTTTAAGAAATGAGAAGCAACTCATTGCACCAGTTGGGGTTAAATAACTTGTTGCCAGCTGAAAGATAATCACCCATGCAGTAATTATCCAATAGGAGGCTTGTATCTATTTGCTTCGTTAAATCCAGGTGGCAACTTTTTTGACCAGGCAGTGTATATAAATGTAAGAGTTGGGGGGTTCAATTCCACCAGCAGTCACATGCCGAAGTGTTCCTGGGCAATACACCGAACCCCTCATTTCCTCCGATGTGTGTCCCATCGGTGTATGGATGTGTATATATCTAGTAGAGTATTGTATGAATGGGTATATGAGGGCACAGATTGTGTTGTAAAACACATTGAGTATCTTGATAAGATAGAAAAGCACTACAAGTGCAATCCATCTAACATTCTATTTACAAAGGCCCCAATCTTCTTCCAAAGCTTTTTTATCCAAGTTTGATATAAAGAATTAAATATATATATATTGTGTTCTATGTGGTGACATCATTGTATAAATCTTAAAAGAGGTGATTCAGATCTTTTGAATCGGCTTTCTATGAGTGGTTTTTGAAAGATTAATATCATACCTGATGACTCTTTGAACGACCGGTTTTGAGAAGCTGTTTATTTCTGGATTGATGACTTCATGACTAATCAGACTGATGTCATGAATGCCGTTTTATAAACTTTTATGCCACGTCAAGTTTTATATCACACCGTTATTCCAGCAAAATTTTATATTACTCCTACTGCAAGTCTCCCTGGCTGCAATAGAAATGCTACAGCTAGCTGCAGCTGCTGCAAATATAGGGCGATACTGTCCGTCCTTGCTAAAGCGTACAACACGAGTTATGAACTGAGTGAGGGGATCACTGAGTTGTTAAAATATGTAGCAGAATTTACCTATTTTTAGTTGCTATTTATTACAGCTGTTCATAAGGCTTTAATTTTTTTTGGGAGGACATAGAAAGAAAAATCTTTAGAATGCACCGTACATGTATGTGATACTGTTATTCATCATCAGTCTGGTTTCCTGCGTGAAACTCTTGCCAGGGTTTCGCTCCTCCGACAGGTCCGACCTTCATAGCACATCACCAGGTGATGATAGGACAGGCAGAAACCTCGCTGTGCCAAAGCACACAAGCACACACGTGCCCTCTTCTACTCGCAGACGGACCGAGAGAGTCCTCGCTCCAACCGTGCCTTCTGACGCCAGGCTTTCCCCTCCTCCTCCTCACCTCGTCTCCCTCTTTCTCCCCTTCTCTGTATCTGACAGTCCTGGCACTGTGAAAAGTTCAGAGCTGTCAGGGGGAATGTCAGACGACTGCGTAGGGCAATCTGCTGAACACACAAATCCACACACGGTGCCTCACACTCGTTCACGAGACTTATTTTCTCACCCTGTTCTCCTTTATTTCCATGAAGCAGAGACATGAGACAAGGTAACGCAGTGCGCGTCACACTGCTCGCTGAATTATCATCCGTTTTGCCCGTTAAATCATCTTCTAAGGTTTTGTCAAATGTCTAATCCATGTTCATTATTTACTATGTGATAGTTTAAGTGATACACACATTTAAACTAATTGGCAAACATGTATCTTTGTAGCTATAAAAGTGAGTTTTGCACCATTCTAAATACAAATATACACATTAAACTCTGACAAACAGCATCAAGTCTTTCAAAGTGAAGCTTTAATGCTATTGGATAAAGAAAAGTTGCTTCCCGACATTTGTTCAAATTGTCTGGGTGTTCAGTGAAATAAAATAATGAAAGTGATTGAAAATGCATTGTTTATAGACCAACAAGGATTGAACTCATGACCCCTAATGTACAAGGCCAGTGCTCTAACCACTGAGCTATAGGGCTCCAGTTACAAACTGTCACAATAAGATCCAACAAAGTTCAGTCAGGTCATCTGGACAGTTTATTTATTTTTGTTGAGACGTTTTGTCCTTCATCCAAGGGACTTCGTCAGTCCAAGGAGCCACAACAAACAGCACACTCGTGAAGGCCCACAAGCAGCACACACCCATAGTGGGCCAACCAGTTTGATGGTGATAAGATGGTTTCTGGGGCCCACCCTCTCCCCCATCAACTCCTCTGAGGCAGCCAAAGTGGTTCAAAATCACCAGCAAACTAGTTGGCCCACTGTGCGTGTGCTGCTCATGGGACTGAGTTTGTTGTGGCTCCTCGGTCTGATGAAGTCCTTTGGATGAAGGACGAAACGTCTAAAAAAAAAGAAACAGTCCAGATGATCTGACAACTTTGTTGGATTTTTACCTGGATTATTGAGCATGAACTTTGATGTTTTGAACCATTTTGGCTATGGCTGCCACAGAGGGGTCGACAGAGGAGAGGGCAGGTCCCAGAAACCATCTTTATCACCAGAAAACTGGTTGGTCCACTATGCGGGTTTGCTACTTGTGGGACTCAGGTTTGTTGTGGCTCTTCAGACTGATAGAAGTACTTTGGATGAAACGTCTCCAAAAAAAAAAAAAAAAAAAAAATGTCCAGATGATGTGACTGAACTTTGTTGGATTTATCTGGATTATTCAGCATGAACTTTGATGTCACAGTAAGAGTTTAAAGACAACAAAGACAGAGGTGTTGTACCTGGGCTTGTCGACCACTTGTACAGGAATGACATCACAGCCTCAGCTGACTGGACTGCAACTGGTCACATTATGCAGCTGGAAATAAATTAAGACGTCATGCAAATACTTTTCTGCATCTTCCTGTAGGCAACTCTGTGGCGAGACGAGGGCGTTCATTCCAGTCTCATCTGGACATCCCTTTCTGCACCCAGAGCCAGTGTAAGCACATACAAAAGGACACTTGGTTACAAAATGGCAGTTGGTCAAAAGTGTTTTTGTGCTCTTTGTTTTTCAGTGAGCGGTTTAGATTGTGTGCACCTGACTGACGCCTTGAACCAAGCCAAGCAGTTCTCCTACCACCTGAGGCCGCACAGTGCAGGACAGGGTACGAGAGGCCGCGGGAAACATTGAACACACTCGTATTATTCTTTGGTGTTGTCTCAGCTTGCTGGCAGTCTCACGTCTTATAGAAATACTGTGCACAATGTTCGCTCCGTGTGCCAGTTTCTAAAATTATGCCGTATACGACATCAGAGCCATGACCTCACAGGGTGGGGGTTAAGTCTGCAGAAATGGTGTGTGTAAAAGATAACCTTTCATGCATTGTAAAAGGAGCGCATACACACCATTTTTTTCTTTCATTCTCCATTGCGGTCGTGCACACACACACATCGAGATAACCTTTCCTCATGTTATGGAGAATGAGGCAGTCTATCAACAGCCAGTCATACAGACAGCCCACCTGCAGCCGCCGACACACATGCGCACGTGCACACACACACACACAGATTTTTAAGTTATCATCTGTTCAAGAGAAACTAATTTCTGAACTTCTTATGTTTACACAAAAAAATATTTTTTGTCATCTTACAAATGTATAAAACATGTACTTTAATGTTTCGTGCTTTTTACATATTAAAAAAAAAACAAGTTTACTTTGATTTTACCTTTTCTTTATTCTGTTTTTGTTTTATGTTTTCTTGTTTATTCAAAGTTTCTTTGTACGTTTGTAAACACTGGCTCAATATTCAGCAACAACACTAAAAAAAAAAAAAAAAGATAGCAAAAAAGACCAAAGTAATACAGTTAAGAACGTTTAGGACAGAGGGTAAAGGTTAATGAGTTCCTTTGACGAGAACAGGGTAGTATTTGTGTCCGTTTGAAACAAAGTATGAACTTGTTGCTGCTGAGTTTTGTGTTTTTATGAGGATGAAAAAGCAACACACTCGGTGCTTGTCTGATGGGCGCGCTGGTTAATACATGTTTCGAAGGCCCAGGTTTCCACGGTGCGCAGAAGAGCCATGAGCCACGGTGACGCTGTAACAGTACAGCAAGTCTGTCAGCCACTGCTCCCTGGTTGTGCCCCGAGAATACCTCTGAAACAAACATCCACAGAATAACAATCAGGTAACAAACTTCCATTTAAAGATTTTCTCCTCCAGAAGCATTAGGACATGCGTTTACCGTGAGATTCTGTATGACCTCCTGCAGCAGAGCAGTGTTGGCCAGCAGCTGGTTGTGCAGCGGCGTGTGCTGCAGCAGCATTGAGAGGATCTGCCCGAGCTGTGGCAGCTCCTCCTCATTAAGACCTCTAACATGCATCGACTGCAAAACAATACGAAGCAAACGAGGAATGCTGCTGAGCGCGGTCACGCACGAACTCCAAATCGCCTCCCTGTAAACGTGACACCAAGACGTCTTGAACTGCTGTTAAGAGGTCTTTATCACATGGTGGAGTTTAGATTTATCATTCGAAACGCACCTTTTGTGATCGGTTTCAGCAGGCGCCTCCTGCTGCAGGGTAACGAGCAGCGCCATCAGGCTGAGGCAGCACTGAGACAAGAAGCGCAGCACCGGCTCAACGGGCAGGATGGACAGATCCAGTAATCTGGAGACGGCTCTAAGCAGCCCGGCTGCCATGCTGTCGGGAACCACGTCCAGCCTGATCTAAGACGGACAAAAAACAGCGCAAGGGATAAAACATGAACACTGGAACTGAGCAAAGTGAAAAATCTACAGTGGGACAGTAAAATGATACTCTTACCAGGTATTTGAAAATGCCATTTTGTATGACGTCAAAGAAATGAGTCTTTGATCCAATAGTTTCCAGACAGTGACACACTTCCTGTAACGCAGACATTTGTGTTAACAATTCTGGAAATTTTCTGGAACTATGACCCCATGAATCCGTTTGTTCAAAATAGTTTGTAAAACCAGGAAATAAGCATAAAAAGCACATAAATACATACTACTTTATGTGCTATGTACTTCCAATGTGACAAAACTGATAGAAATTGTACTGTTTTACTTTAAATCATTATTCTTTCATGTATTTAACAACAAAAAAAAGATCAAGTAATGACATTTCAGTAACTAAAAGAGCAAACCAACCTTTCGGTTTGAATAAAATAAAAAGCCACCTTGCCACTAACTTTTTAAAAGTGAAAAATAAAACTCCACTTTTCTTCATTAACTTGAAATCCAAATCAGATTTCTTATTAGCTTTTATCAAATTGAAGCATGCGAGTCTGCCCCTGTTGGCATTCTCTCCGTCATTAAAAACAATCCCGTCTCATTAGCCGAACCAGAGCTGACATGGTCCGTTTCTTAATGTCCCCCCCACCTCTTCACTGTTGCCACCATGCAACCCCCTCCCTCCTCCTACTCGCCACTTGCCTGTGATTGACTCAGACAGGGAGATGAGAGAAGCAGGATCTGAGGCTTTAATTGAGGGCCTGAATTAGTGATTATAAGCCCCCCCCAGCTCACACACACTTGCCCCAGGGCATAGTTAGGTTAACGGTAATTTCTGTGCAGAAATGTCAACTCTCCCATCATGCCACGGGCTCTCATTAGCATTTGTGCATATCCACCATGCCCGATAACCACGCATCTCCAACCTGCACAACACGATAAAGGTTCCCCTCTCAGTAGGAGTGCCATGATAAAACGTCCCCCCTCTAAGCTCTATGTGAGGGACAGAAACAGACCGGGGGGTGGGGAGGGGGCCACTGAAAGACCATAGTTGTGTCCAGAATTTCAACTTTCCACACTCTTCAGAACAATGTCTGCTTTTCCTTCACCTACATCTGGTTCAAATTAATCTGTTAAACTTCTGCAGTTTTGCTAATAGTGCACCTCAACAACATCCCAATGGTGTGTAAACTGCTCCAGCGGGGTGGGGTACAGGCAGATGGGTGCAAGCGAAGAAGGCGGCATGGCGCTCTCATCTTCCTGCAGGCTGGAGAGGTTTTCGAACGAGAAGCCTATGAGTGTGGAGAACAGGAAGCTGAGATAGTCCACGTCCTGCAGAGACGCTTCCTGGTTCCCAACAGACCAGCCACTCAGAGAGGACCTGAAGAGCACATGCAGCAAACATGTCAAACAACAAATAACATTTGTATTGAGAACGTTGGAAAACTACAAATAATGTGTGCACAGCTTCCAATATAAATTGGTCTTCCTTCTTTATACTTCCGAGAATTTGTGATGCCATGTTTCACAAGGGCATATTAAAAATAAAAATGCACGTAAATACAGTTATAAAAGTGATTCCTTGTCCTCAGGGGATGCATCTGTAAAAGCAGTAACTGTGTGTGAATAATAGTGTGTTTTGTGAGGCCTGGGAGGCACATGCAGACTGTCCTCTCCATGACGATGACGATGCTGCATTCCAACCTCCCAAAGAACTCTTTGTATCAAATCTATTATGCACAACTTGTAGCAACTCAGTACATTAAAAATAAGGTCACCTCAGAAGAAGGTAAGCTGTTGAACAAAACTGCTTCAGTGGTTATCAGTAAGGTAAATAGCAAATAAACAATGAATTTGCATCTGAATTGAGCCAACAAGCAGATTAGAAATTAGGTAAAACATCAATGATTATTTTAAGAAAGCACAATACTGCCATCTTATGGTGCCCGATTGCAAAAGATGAGATTAAACTTCTGTGAAACATCTTTTATTTTTTTTATATATAGGGGTCTAATTGACAAAAGGGTAAGCTAACAAGTTCACCTTAAGTGTACGATACGGATCAGAGAGGCAGCGAGGCCGGAGGAGATGCGTCCAGCGGTGCAGCAGCCGCTCAGGTTGGCCAGCAGAGGCTGGGACATTTTGGGAAAGAAGTAAAGCAGCTGGACCATTTGTTGCTGGGACTCTGCCGGTAACAGCACCACAACGCCTTCCTGCGGATCTTCAAACACAAGCGCACATTGTGGTCACACAACGGCAGCTGGGGTTTTTCACATGAGGAAAAATGATTCTTGGATAACCAGTTTATGCTTGTGCCATTAAAAAGAAAGGCGCAGCTACAACTGTAAGGGTGCAGATAGTGTGTGTGTGGTGTTCCGTCGGTCTCTGACGCACATGCTGATGTCAAAAGGCCTCAGACAAAAGAAGTCTTGTGATGGTGAATTGCTGGCTCTGCGGCAGCCTCTATCAGACACCCCCCCTTTGCCCCTTCAACTATCTGACGATCCTCTGAGCCATGCACATAAACACAGGCTGGAGCTCAGTTTTACAAGTGGTCTAAAGTGGCAGGCATAGAGCTACACTGCCTCCTAGGGGACATAAGCAAACATAATATATTGTTTTTTTTATATGGAAACTGACGCAAAGGTACAGACACTGTGTGTGAAGGTGTAAACTAAGATTCAGTAGCTTGTAGGAACTGCTTTTAGAAGCAATAACTTGAAGGAAGCATGTTCTGTGTGACTGTTCGACATGGTGGAGAATCTTCAGCTCGTCGAGGTTTAGAGGCAAAGATTCTTCCATGCTCATGACCCAGTTTTAACCGAACATCAGCTGCCTGCCAGACGGCCTCACATTTGACTCAAAATAACTTTAGTGTACGAAAAAGTTCACGATAGAATCAGCGACGGCTAACTTCCTGTCCTGTGGCTGCAAAACAAGCACAACCTATTGTGTTCGACAAAGTGCTTTAAAACCTGTGTGTTAATGCGCCGCTTGGTTTACACACGTTGCAGTGCGTTGGGGACAAAAGCAAGTCTCCACATTGCTCTCAAATGTTCATGGAAGTCAGGACTCCTGCAAATGAGCCAACCTGTTCAGTTTTTTTTTTAATGCAGCATCTAAATTTGGGGTAAATGTGATTAATTTTTCCCGTCTGGAATTCTTAAAAACTCACTTGGATCTTGGACTAGTCAAGAATCCCTATTTGTTGAACAACTTGCATATTATTTATCATGGCTGCATGCATACAAAATTGTAATTTCTAAAGTATATAGACAGATGCATCAATTTAGTTTGGAAAATTATAAAAATAAAACATTTACATAATTCAATTCAATTAAGTTTATTTATATAGCACCAAATCACAACAAAGTTGGCTCAGAGCACTTTACAGGAATATTCACATACATAAAAGCCAATTAGTAAAGTGCTCTCTATCTAAGGAAAAGCCTACTGTTGACAAAATCAACAGAAAATTGTGTTTCTGAATTTAAAGCAGTAACTGAGCAGGATATTTTACAAATAACTACTGCACAAACACTAAAACACAGAGCTGCATCGAGGGAATCCCTGCTTTATTTCACTTATCAAGTTAAAAGTTTGAGAAACCTCAAACGTTATTACCAAATCCTGAAACAGAATTATAATCACAGTTTGTACACTACTGAAAACATCAGACAGGGTTGCAGCTTACCGTGATGTGACCAGAGGTAAAATATTATTAAGGATTTGCTTAAAACATAAGGCAGCATCATTTATCTGAATTGCGCAAGTTAGTGACATGTAGGTCACCGTTTTAATAAAGATGTTTCAAACAAGTGCATGCTTACCGTAGAGCCTGCAGCCATATGTCTGCAGACTGTTGAGAAGCTCTTTGTTGCCTCGAGAAGCTGCAGCCTGGATGGAAACGATGAGCTGAGCAGAGAGTGTTGGGTTACGGTGGCCCAGCTGGGACAACTGTACAGGAAGAGATGCCAACCACCGACACAGCACCTTGCTCCTTCAGACACAAGAGGAGGTAAAATATTGTGAGTGTGAATACAAAGAAACAAATCCAGGCTGAAAATTGTTGATTTTTTTTTTTTTGCCTGTCACGATAACTAATTTTACTGGGCGATTAATTGTCTCAGAAATTATTGCGATAAACGATAATATTGTTTGGAGACCGTTTTAAACTAATGTAATGATAATGACATAATAATGCAAGTACATCCTCTCAAAGATCAATAAACTTTAATTTCAAAAGAACACTTAACACTGCAACTGTAAAATAAACAAAATCAAAAACAAAAATAGACTCTCGGTCTCTGTTAACAAAAAATGCAGTTGAATAAAAACTAAATAAAACAAAAAAACTAAATGGAAATAAAAGCTACATTCAACCAAAGCAGTACGAATCATGAAGTCTGTAAACTAAATTGCCCTTCAAAAAATTATAATCATTAGTTTTATATAGACAAAACAGGCAAAACTGCCAGTTTTATAAACAAAAACTGCAAACTAACTTTGGATGCTGGTGCTTTAGGTGCAGGTGCAAGTTTGTTGTATTGCTGCTCTTAGTTGCTACTGTTTTATGACATACCGGCTCGCAAAGGTTCAGCAGTTCGCCTCAGTCATTTGGTTCGAATCCGAAGTGCTCCCACACTGCTGCTGCTGCTGTTCGACTTTGAAACCAATTGCATTTTGGTTTTTTCTCCCCAATATCAAATAGCATTTCTTTAGCTTGTAACTTCTCACAGGGCTCTAATGCTGCAGAGGTACAAGATGGGGGTGCACCGATTGCAGTTTTCTGGCCGATCACGATTTCTAAAAAGCCTGACCTGCCAATTCCGATTTTGGCCGATACTGATTTTGTTTTATAAGCGACACTGTCAGGTGTTATAAGGTCACAATGCACCTTCAATTTTCCAATATTATTTTGTTGAAAAACATATCCTTGAACAATATCCTAGAAACAATACAACCTTGTTTAAACTGGCCATGAGGTAGTGCTCTGAAATATAAATGAAGTTCAGACAATTGTTGTTAAAACTAAAAAAAATCTGTTAAATCGGTTTCTCATGCAAGTATCGGCCGATTTCCCAAAATTACGGACATCGGAGCCCCTAGTACAAGACGATGCGCCTTGGCTGGCTACCTAACACGATAGTTCACTCCCCACTTACGCTAAGGAAATGAGAAAGGGAGGGGTCAGTGAAGAGCACTGGAGTTGAGCCTTTTGTCATCCAGTGTCTTCAATAGAAAGAGAGAGACACGAATAAGCAATAAAGCTGATAATAAAAATTATCTATCTCATTTTAATTTATCATGCAATTAATTGATTTATTGTTTATCGTGACAGGCCTAACCATGACCACAAGAAACAGAAAAAAATCAGAGGTTTGGGAAGCTACATCAAATTTTATAATTCTGACTTTGCTTTGTGGTCTTTATGAATGATGCTTTGGAAATCTAACTTTACCAGGGTAATCGTAGCCATGAAGGTGTCTTTCAAAGTCTTTTTGCCTTTGCACAAAATGTAAACAGAACAAGGCAGACTGTTACTAGGCAGCTCAAATATTTTCAAGGTAGTTTTAAAGCAAAGTCTGAGGTGAGGATTTCTGCAACAACAGAATCCACAGATGTTCATCCTTGAACAGAGGGATGAGCCTGGCAACTTAAAGTCGACTCAAAAATAAGAAAAATTTGTTTTTTGATTTTAACAGGAAGCCTGGCTCTCTTTGACTTTGCCATGGTTGAAAATCAGTCTGTTAAAAAGTATAATTTTACTAATGATAGAGAGCAAAAGTTCATGTGATTAAAGTAAAGCTGCTTTTAAACTAACAATGATTTTTGCTGTTTTTGTTGGTCGTCACACATGCAAATTTTTAATGGCCGTGTTTTATGTAAGACATACAACAATTTTACAAGACGCTTCACTTCCAGTTTTGAAGAGAAAATTCTGAGCTCAAATACAACGAAAGTCAATGAGACCTTGGGTGTGTGGTCTGAACTCTGGGGTCACTTGAAAGAAAAACCCTGTAACTGTGAGAGAGACACTGAATTAAACACACAAATGTTTGTGCTTGAATATTTAGACTGTATAAAAAGTGTAAAGTCTGTGGGAGCAAAAACAATTTGTTCACAAACATTTTCAAAATGTAGACGGCTCAAACATTGTGAGGCATATCACAAACAGTTGAACATTTTGTGGTAGTTTTCTAAAATTGTAACATTTTACTGCAATCGCACTAAAAATGCCAGCGTAGTCACATGCAAACGTCCCACCTCCTGTGAACAGTTAAAACTTGGTGGTTTCTGTTGTGATGTATGTCTGAGCTACAGAGCTTCAAAGAGGGATGGGCACGCTCACATTTTTGTTTTTTTTTAGCCAAAATTCTTGTGCAAGAGGAATTTTTCTTCTCCATTTTCTGCTAATTTTCTTTATATCATATAATGTGCTGCTAACAAAGGTCTTTGTAAACATTTCCGTTCACATGTCTGGATGTATTTTTTTGCATGGGTTCCTCTAAAGCTGCAGAAGTAACAAGACAAATGACAGAAATTAAATTATTATTATGAATTATTAGTAATGAAAAACTCCCTTTTCTTAAAAGCTCTTCCGTTTCAGTTTTCTGCTGTGGCTACTATCAACAAAATGATTCAAGAAGGTAAAAACAAAACCCAAGGTTACCTGGCAATGTGTGCATGTCCCTGCTCCTGCAGGTAGAGCTTGCTGTAGAAAGAAAGTAGCAGCGATCTTGTCTGCAGTGGCAGGTTTCTCTGTTTGTAGTAGACGTACACCGCTGCCAACAGCTCCTCTGTCACTGCTGCACAAACACAGATATAATGGGATATAATGGGATTAACCTGTATGAATTAATGTTGAACGGGAAAAAAAAATAGCACTGACAGCTGCAGTTAGCTTCTACTTTTAAATGTTTTATAAGATCTTTCTTAGCCCTTGCCACCTTTACACTAGTATGTGGCCAAACACTGATAAAGAAAAAGAAATGTTAATTTTTTTTAGTTTACATTTTTATTTTCAATTTTCCAGTGAACAGTTTATATGTACTTGCACATTACACATTTTCTAATTGAATGCTCTTATCCCATTTTATATCCAAGCAGAGACAGAAAAGTGTGATGAGTCATCAGCTCAATTTGAGCTGACCAATAGGAAGGGAGTGAAACTTTTTTTTTCTTCCAACTTCTGCTTTAGAGGAAATTTGTAAGTATGCAGACTTAAAGTCTCATTTGATCACTGTGATGATAAACATAACATATTTGTTGTTTTTTGATAGTTTTGTTTATAACAAAAGTCCTCCCAGCCCCATCTGAGAGGAGTGTCTGTGGAAAAACAGGTGACGTTTTTCCAAACAGACACTAATGAACATCAGGAGTTTGTGTATTTTTGCTAACCTATTTCATATTCGTGTGTAATCTGTACGCCTCTTTTATAACTGTCTATTGTTGTCATCATTCTTTGTTGAAATCAGGTCTCTCTTGTAAATGGGTCCTCGAGGCTCAATGGGATTAACCCGTCTAAATAAAAGTTGAACTGAATTTTGTAGAAGTTCAAAACTGTGTTTTAGACAAAGTTGAGACAATCTTGAAACAGAAACATCTACCACTCAGGGGCTTCTGTGTTCATGAAATCATGTGCATCACGCTTACTTCTGCTCCTCTGTGTGAGCACCATCTTCCACACGGCGCCCAGCAGCATGTGCAGCTGCTTATAGCTCAGCTTCACGCCGCTCCCCAGAGTGTCCCGGACAAAACTCCTTAAAGGCAACAGCCAGTCTCCATCTGCCTCTCGACTGGGACCCTGCTTCTGAACGAGGGACACCATGACCTGACAAAGTGTGATGTTTAAAGCCAGAGGCTCTATGGTCAGAGCAGGAACAGCTGCAGTCTGTTTACTCCTGAGGAGAGAAAAGGTCAGACATCAGCAAAGAACTTCTCCTTGAAATTTATCTTATTTAAACACAATTATACAGATTATTTTACAGTGAAAACAATTTAAAAAATGCATGAACAGGGGTGGGTAGATGCAACTTTATTATTCCTGAAAAGTAATAAAGCAGATATCCAGTTTCACTAGTCAATCCAACTGTTTATGAGCACAGAAAGCTAGTGTTAGTGATTTCTGGTGCAACTAATCTGAATGAAACTTACAAAGTTTAAACTTTATATTTGTGTCATGTTAAGTAGCTGCTCTTATTTTAAATACAAATGATCCTTTAGATGACCTTATTGTTTTAGCCATTCTAATGAATTTGTGGGCTATATATTAACAAAAGCATGAAAATATTTTACAAAATAAAATAAAAATGATATGCAATAAATTAAGAAATCTGAACTGGAAAGGTCTGCAAAAAATTTTATTATCAGCCTTAAATCTAAAAAAGCTAAATCCGGTCCTCTGGACGACCAGATTTAGCTTATTTAGATTTTTCTGCCTGGATTATTGAGCATGCATCAGGATATCAGCCTTAAAATTTTAAATTAAATTAATTTCTGTCCAAAATGTTATTTTTAAAACTCTTTGACAATAAAAAATTATGTAAAGATGCAAACTTCTTTGCTGAGTGATCAGAACATAAAGTGGTTATCAAAAGATAACCATTATAATCCTAAAAGGCGTGGAAGTTGCAGTGAAGCGTGTTTCTAAGTAATGACCAAAAACTAAAATAAAATTTTTAAAAAAATCTAATTTCCTTTCATTTCTGTTGTTTCTTTAAATCTGAAAATAAAAGTAATAATCTCCCTAAAATTTAAAGTAAATGTTATTGTTAAATAAATTCCTTTTGGAAATCAGGTAAAAAAAAGAAAAGAGCGATTCAGTTACAGAAATTTTGACCAGGCTGAGGTTAAACATGAGGCTCAAGATTTTTGAATGTGTAATTGGAAAGGTGCACATAAGTGCTTTAGATTTAGAAGAGAAACAAGTTGCAGACATGTGACATTGTTATAACAAGATTAAACATTCACCTATAGTAAAAAAAATGAAGAAAAACAGTGAAGGAAAACCATTTGCCAACACTGATATTCTTACCTTTTGAGATCAACTTTCTTCTTATGTTTTGGTGTGTCCCGCGTAGCGTAGGGAAAATTTTTTATGAAGTGTTGCTTAAAATCTCCCACATATTCCTTACGTAACCATGCATCCTAAACAAAAATAAGGCTGAATGTCATTTTTAAATATTATGTATGTGTACATACATGTGTGTGTGTGTGTATG